AACCTTCTGGCCCTTTAAATACAGTTCCTTCCTCATGTTGTGACCCAACCATAAAATTATTTTCATTGCTACTTCATAACTGTGATGTTGCTACTGTTATGAATCGTAATGTAAATATCTGATATGCAGGATGGTCTTAGGCGACCCCTATGAAAGGGTGGTTCGACCACCAAAGGGGTCACGACCCACAGGTTGAGAACCGCTGCATTAGAGGCCTGGTGCACAAATTTGTGTACAGATGAGGTTCCTTGGAGTGGCGTGTGGGGATCGGGCCCCAGCTTGCTTCCCCAGCCTCGCAGCCCCACAGCTTCACCTGGCACCCCACCATGGCCTGGCGCCACCCCCTCACCTGCTCCACCATCCCACCATGTTCCACTCCACCCCCTGGTTTTGGAAAAATAGGAAAGCCACATGCAAAAGAATGAAACAACTGCTATTTGACACCATACACAAAAATAAACTCAAAATGGATTAAAGACTTAAATATAAGACCTGAAACAATAAAATACATAGAAGAAGACATAGGTACTAAACTTATGGACCTTGGATTTTACACTAGTAAACTTGACTCCAAAGACAAAAAAAAAGGGGGGGGGGGTGGACTAAAAAGCTTAGAGACAAAAAGAACCCTTCAACAAAACAAAAAGGCAACCAACCAAATGGAAAACCTCCTGTAAGGGGCTAATATCCAAAATATATAAAGAATTCATACAACTCAATGATAAAAATAAAACACACAAAAAAAATCCAACTAACCAGTTTGGCTCAGTGAACAGAGTGTCGGCCTGTGGACTGAAGGGTCCCAGGTTCGATTCCAGTCAAGGGCATGTACCTTGGTTGTGGGCACATCCCCAATAGGGAGTGTGCAGGAGGCAGCTGATCGATGTTTCTCTCTCATTGATGTTTCTAACTCTCTATCCCTCTCCCCTTTGTAAAAAATCAATAATATATTAAAAAAATAAAATAAAATATGAGCAGAGAACCTGAACATTTTTCCCAAAAAGACATACAAATGGGCAATGATATATGGAAAGATGTTCAACTCCACTAGCTATAAGGGAAAACAAATCAAAACCACAATGAGATACTATCTCACAAATGTTAGAATGGCTATTATCAATAAGACAAGAAATAACAACTGTTACAGAGGATGTGGAGAAAAAGGAACTCTCATACACTGCTATAAATTAGTACAGCCACTATGGAAAGCAATAAGAAGATTTCCCCCAAAAATTAAAAATAGAACTACCATATGGCCCAGCAATCTCTTTTTTGTGTATCTACCTGAACATTTTGAAAACATCCTATATAATAAAAACCTAATATGCTAAGTGTCTGGTCAGCTGGTCAGTTCAACCAATCAAAGCGTAATATGCTAATGATATGCTAAGGCTGCTCAACTGCTCGCTATGACGTGCACTGACCACCAGGGGGCAGACGCTTTGACCAGTAGGTTAGCTTGCTGCTGGGGTCCGGCGGATCAGGACTGAGCGAGATGGGCTGGACATGCCCTGGAGCCCTCCCACAGTCCCTCCCCGGCTGGCCAACCTCCTGCATCCCTCCCTAACATGCACCACTGGGATCCCTCAGCCAGGCCTGCAGCCTCTCACAATCCAGGACCTTTCGGGGGATGTCGGAGAGCCGGATTCAGCCCGATCCCACAGGCCAGGCCGAGGGACCCCACTGGTGCACGAATTTGTGCACCAGGCCTCTAGTTTATCCATAAAGATATAAGAACCCCTATGTTCAATGCAGCGTTATACATGGTATTCAAGATATGGAAAAAAACTAAGTGTTGTTCAATGAAAGACTGGATAAAGAAGATGTGGTACATATACATAATAGAATACTACTCAGCCATAAGGATGAATTACTTCCATTTGCGACAACATGGATGGATCCTGAGAGTATCATGCTAAGCAAAATAAGTTAGATGGAAAAAGACAAGAGCCATATGATTTCAATAATATGTGGGATATCAAACAGAAAGCAACAACAAACAAATAAACTCAGAAATACAGACAACAGAGGGTGGTTACCAGAGGGAAAAGGGGGTGGGGGAAGAATGAAGAGTGCAAAGGAGGTCAAATATATGGTGACGGAGGGAGACTAGACTGGGTGGTGATGTAATGCAATATATAGATGATGTATTATAAAACTACACAGTTGAAACTTATACAGTGTAATTAACCAATGTCACCCAAATAAATTTAAAAAATAAATGACATTTTTAAAGAAGGAGCCTGGGCCAATGTAGCTCAGTTGGTCCCAACCGCCTAAAGGTCCTGGATTTGATTTCCGGTCAGGGCACATAGCCAGTTTGCGGGTTCGATTCCCAGTCAGGGTGTGTATGGAAGGCAACCATTTGCTGTTTCTCTCTCACATCAATGTTTTCTCTTGCGCGCTCCACCCCCCTCTTCCCTCTCTCTAGAACAGCTGTTCTCAACCTGTGGATCTCGACCCCTTTGGGGGTCAAACGACCCTTTCACAGGGGTCACCTAAGACCATCGGAAAACACATATAGAATTACATATTGTTTTTGTGATGAATCACTATGCTTTAATTATGTTCAATTTGTAACAATGAAATTGGGGGTCACCACAACATGAGGAACTGTATTAAAGGGTCATGGCATTAGGAAAGTTGAGAACCACTGCTCTAGAATCAATGAAAAACATATCCTTGGGTGAGGATTTAAAAAAAGAGTGCCGCCCTAACCGGTTTGGCTCAGTGGATAGAGCGTCGACCTGCGGACTCAAGGGTCCCAGGTTCAATTCCGGTCAAGGGCATATACCTTGGTTGCAGGCATATCCCCAGTAGGGGGTGTGCAGGAGGCAGCTGATGGATGTTTCTCTCTCATTGATGTTTCTAACTCTCTATTCCTCTCCCCTCCTCTCTGTAAAAAATCAATAAAATATATTTTTAAAAAATAAAATAATAAAAAAAGAGTGCCTAAGACCTGCCTGCCTGCGTATGGTGCTAAATTACTACTATAAACTGTCAGACACAACTCTTGATAGCCCCATTCTAGAAAACTAAAATCTAAATCCCCTGTAACAAATACAAAACAAGAAGAACTAAGTCTACAAATAGCTATTATGTATAAACCCTAACATTATTCATCAGCTTTATATCAATGTGTTTGAGGTAATAAGTAAAATGAATGAAAGAGAAAAAGTATCACTTCTTTCCAGCTTCTAAGAAGTCCCCCACTATTATGATAATCTCAATCAAAGACTCACCCCAACCACAGAGAACTCCTCCTAAGAAGCACATGAACCTTCTGTAGGCTGAAATATATTATTTTTTCTTCCTTCACTAAACTGGTATGGGTGAAAAGTTAAATTCACAGAAGGTAGGATTCCACTCAATTGTAGACTGAGTAGATGGTGGCCTTCCCGCTTATCTTAACTACCAATTAACTGTCACCTCAGGTTGTCTTGGTAAGGTGTCAAGGAGGATGTACAAGCACACGAGATTTATTTTTATTTTTTAAAAGAGCAAGAGGAGGCTTCTTGCTCAACTGCAGAGGGAAAGACCAATTTGATTATGGTTAAAACATCCCAGTACCTGCACCACCTTCCCTCTGGAAAACTGCCCCTCCTTCACTCCCACCATGTAATTGGTGATGCTGCCAATCGAATACCATATCTGCCTAGCCAGAAGAGTAGGCAGAGGACATTCTTGTGTCCAATTTGGCCAAGCAGTGGTTTTGTAAATACTGAAGGTAGGAGTTTTCTCTTTACTCTGGGTACTTGGAAACTGGAAAGATGTAACACGGGAGCTGTTATACAGAATGGAGATCATTCAAACATTAATTCAAAGTTCAGTTAAGAATAGAACAGTTTAATCTTACAAATAGACACATATGACACCTGAAGCTGTGCGTTAAAATAACCTATCTAACCTCTAAAACTATAAAAAGATCAAAAGTTAAATATTCTTCATTAAGTTCAAAAGGCCTTACTTTTCATTCACATATATAACTGACATTTGATATCTCAATGGTTGAAATGTCTACGAAAAGAGTGAGATACAGCTAAAAATCATCAAGATGTCCCAATATTCTGAAAGACATAAAACATCCATCCAGGCACAAAGGGAATATATAAAGGATAATCAACATATTATTCTTAGAGCTCTGGAAAAAATTTTTGCACATGTAACTATGTCTCTTTAACACATCAAGCCCAGTAGTTCAACCACAATCCTCCCCATCCGCACACGTATCGTTATTCTGCACTCTATGGAACAAGCCAGCTATCGCCAGAGGTTTCACTATCTATTCTTTGCTTAAATTTAACCGTGAGCAAACCCATATCTTACACAAACATATATAGACCCTCCATCCCCATTTGTATTAAATAGACTTCAAACACACACACACCTGACATGCAATTTTCTGACCATCACAGATATCTGTAGTAGAGCTGATGCCACAAATTAACATCCATGTTGGTTCGGCTTGGGTTTTTGGTTTTTGTAGGGGTACATTGCGGGGGGAGAGAGGGTGTCAGGAGGGTATGGTAGAGGGTGGGCAATGCAGAGGGACACAAGCCTTCTGTCCATTCTAGGATTGGGAGGGTGTGGAGGATGCGGGCCTATTTGGAGAAGGCTCCAGGTGCTCTTGATTACCCATGCCAGGGAGCCTCTCTCACTGGTCTTCCTCCATCCCATCCTAATCTCCTCTGAAAAACACCTAAACACTTTAGGCCGCTGTTTCCCTCCTTCCCCAGGTACCACCTTGAGAAAACTAACCAGGGCGCAGGAGCAGCCTCAAACGCTAGAGACCCACCGCTCCCCTGGCTGCCCTCCCTCTGGGGCACACCTTGCAGGCAGAGAGACTGGAACCAGAACCAGCCTCACGGAGTGCGTATCAACCCTAAGAGGTGGACACCCCACCCAAGCCCCAGCCTCACACCTGGGGAGCACACTCATCCAGTCCTCGAGGGATGGAGGAGCCCACGCCTGTGCCCCAGGCCCCACAGGCGGCTGCACACCTGTTCCGTCCCGGGGGAGGCGTGTAATCACCGGCCTCCCACTCGCACAGTCTGGGGGAGCGGGTGCACCTGTCTCTCCGTCTCCCATTCCTTCGCAACCAACAAGTGGAAACTGCCCGACCCAGTCCCAGGCCAAACGAAGGGCACACCCTTCCTCCCCGGTGTCAACCCCGCACGGCCGGTGGGCCCCAGGCCAGGGAGCCGGTCAGGGGCCGCTCCGTCAGCCACCCCGAGGCCGCGCAGCTGTCGCGCGGGGAAAAGGGCGGCAGCTCAGGGAGCCGACGCGCGTTCTCTCCCCGCCCGGGGTTCAGCCCCTCCCTGCACCGCCGGCCCACACTTTACCTGCGCCGGTAGCCGTTCCAGCCCAGGACCCCCGGCCACGAGACCCCGCCCCCTGCCCTAGCCTCACGCAGGCGCAGAGCCTCCTATCCCTGCTGGCCACGCTTCCGCTTTCCTCCCGCACCCTGGTCTCTCCTGGGCGGTCCCCTCCTCTAGCCACGCCCTCATTTAAAGGGCCAGAAACACACCGTCTCAGCCCAGGGAGTTACCCGGTGATTTACATCTTTGGGAACGGGAGGATGGAAGTATCAGAGGAGTGCAGACCAATAAATAGCAGCCCCTGACCTAAGAGGAACCCTCTTCCAGCCCTATGTGAATGAATTTAGTCTTTAAGAAAATGAACCTACCATCTTCAGCGATGCCAGAAAGGCAATTGATTCCCAGGCTTTGGGAGTTTGCAACCAGTAATTTTTTCTTTCATTCTTAAAGAGGAACATAGAATTGCCGGCTTTTTATTTTTCCAAATAAGGACAGTAAACACACACATACACACTAAAAACCAACTATTATTTTCTAATTTATGAACATTGCTTGGCAAAAAATACATCTTAACACCAAAATTATAGGAGACACACACTCAAATAAAAAATATATTTTAAATGGGTAAAAATATATATTGATTTCTCTCATTCCTTCTGAAGATGACAATTTTCAGGACAAACTCTTTTAGAGGCTCCACTCTGGATGGAAAAGTTAAAAAAATAAAAATTTTAAAAAAGGCCACACGCTAACCTGACAAGCTCAGAGAAGGCCTGCATGGCAGTCTTACAAACTCAAAGGCCTAAAGTAACCGCAAAGGATGGTCTGAAATTAAAACTTTAACCAAAAACAGTTAAAGTGGTAGTCATGTCCTAGGCCAGTATCTTCCCTGACCAAGGTCAATCTTTACCTTAACTGAGCCTGTTGTCTTTTTGCATCTAAGATAGCAGACCTGTGGAATGTCAGGGTAACTTGTAACTTCCCTTTCTCTGGACCCCTCGGGGGCACAACCAAATGCCCCTGGGCGCCAGGATGAGACCATAAATTCCTTCATTGTTATTGTTATCTTGTTAATTGTTGACTGTTAACTATCCCATACCTACCTAAGTAAAAGAAGTATGTGTCTATCATTTTAATTTTTATCCAATCCCAAGGACCCCCCTCCCTTTGCTTTCTCCTGCCTCCCTAATCTATCACCAATTAATCTATCACCAGTGGATTTCATGTAACCCACTTACATCTCCTCCTCGTTTGATTGTAATGTATAAAACAAGGTGGAAAACTGCCATTTTCCAGAGTACTATCCCAATCCGTTGAGATTCTACTTCCCGGCAATTGTCAGCAGTTTGGCTCAAATAAACTCACAAAAATTCTTTACAGGTTTGAATGTTTTTATGTTAACACCACCAAAGATAACATTGGCCCCATGGAGCCTAAGATCAAGAAAATAGAAGGATGAAGAACACCACAACGTGCTCCTGGAAGGAGATATAGAAAATATTCCATTGGGCAGACATCTACTGAGCATCAGCCAGGTTCCCGACACTTCTGGGCCTTTGAAGGACCCAAAGGTGTGTGAGACACAGCCTTGCCCTCCGGGTACTCTTTGTCTATGAACTCAGTGTACAGAAATAGCCATTCACATAAGGCAGAGTGTTTTGAGTGGTATAAGAAAGGTATAACACCATCATTTTAGGATCACAGATAAGGGGAAAAGGTGGAACACTTAGGGAGGAGGTGATGTCTTATTAGGGCCTTGAAGGATTTCAGTAGACAGAAAGCAGGGAGAATGCCTAGCTGGGGAACAGTGGTATCAAGGCAGTACCGTAGTCCTCCTTAGCCTGACACCGAGATAGTACTGAACCTTACATGTACGCATTTTGTTTTTCTCCTATATATACATACTTATGGTAAAAATTTATAAATTAGTCACAGTAAGAGATTAGCAACAGTAACTAGAAATACAAGAAAACAATTATAAAGTATACTGTAATGAAAGTTATGTGAATGTGGTCTCTCTCTCTCTAAATACCTTATTGTGCTGTGTTCACCTTTTCACTTAAAGGAAGCAGTTTAAGGCTTCTATTTGGCATGTTCAAATTGCCAGCATCATTATTTTTACATTTTGGGGCTATAATTAAGTAAAATAAGGGTTAAGAACACACACTCTGTAATACCAAGACAGTCAATCTGATAACCCAGATGGCTACTAAGCGACTAACAGGCAGTCGTGTATACAGTGTGGATACGCTGGAAAAAAGAATGATTCACTTCCCGGGGGGAGCTGGACAGAGAGCAATTTTATCATCCTACCCAGAATAGTATGCAATTTAAAATTTATGAATTGTTTATTTCTGAAATTTTTCATTTAATATTTTTGGACCATGGTTGCCCTCAGGTAACTGAAACTGCAGATAAGGGGAGACTACTCTACAAAGCAAGATTAGGGACTACCTGCTGGCCTGTGTGGCTGTGGCATGGACAGTGGCTCTCAAACTTCTTTGATCATCACTCACAGTAGCAAATACATTTTGTTAGGTTAGGTGGCTATACACATATTGTGTGTGTATGTGTGTATATCTGAGACAGTAATTGTTTTTAGTACATATGTGCAATGTAACTTGGTATTTTCTATTCTGGTTATTCTTTTTTTTTTTCAAATCAAAACACATTTTAATGAGTGACATCATTCTACATATTTGCGAATCTCTTAAACGTGAGGCTTGATAGAAGATTCTCATTGTCACAGTATCATATCACGTAGTCTGGAAAATTCTGCATGCTCATGACAGAACGATGGTGAAAAAAAGGAGATAATCCCTTAATATTACTATGAAAATATTTTGGGCTATATTTTGCTTAAATTTGACTTGAGTTCAATGGCTGAGACTAAGCAAAGGTTGGGACTGAGATTCCTGAAGGACTAGCTGAGCTCCAAGGAATAGGAATCTTGTTTGCCTAGAAATAGCCCTGGTGAAGACACTACCATTCCTGCAGGGTGTAGAGGTGTTACTTTATTGGCCTCTTCCGTGCGCGCCCCGCCCCCCCCCCTCCAATTCTGGTTATTCTTATGCTGGTTACTAAATTGATTTCATGACTCACTAATGCATAGCAACCCATAGTTTGAAAACACTGGTGCGGAGTGAAGTAGAGGTACATTGGCATCTATGGCTGGAAAGGCTGAGTCTAGTCCAGGAGAACATTGAATGCCAAGCTGGGGGCAGGGGGTCCCACTTGCCTGGTAAGAGACTTTGGAGGTTCTTAAGCAGAGGAGTGGCATGACTATACCCATAATAACTGTACAAAGTAAATCTGAGACCTGTGGATGGATGTTGTTGGGAAGTGATTCCAACTCACAATCAGGAATGTTAGAGGGTGGTCTCAGCTGATATGCTACGCTTTATAGAGATGTTTACATTAATTAAAAATATTGTATGCTTATTATAGAAAACTTGGCAAAATCAGTAAATATAAAGAGTAAAACAGAAATGACTCACATTCCAGAAAAAAACACTCATGGTTTTGCCTTTGTGTCTTTTACTTTGCATATTTACATTTTTGACACAATAGAGCTATATAGAATAGAGTCCTATATCCTAATTTTTTTCTTTTTGTTCAATGTTATATTTTGAACACTATTCGCAGTTATTAAAATTGTTCACAAGTATCATTTGTAATGGCTACATAATTTTTGATAATGTTTCTTTTATTTTTTTGGACATATAAGGTATTTCGTATTTCTTCACTGTTAACAAGAATATTGCCATGAATATTCTTATACTAAAATTTTTGCCCACGTTTTAAAATTATTTCCTTAGGATAGAAACCTGTAAGTGAAATTACTTATTCAAAGGCTTTGAAAACGTTTAAGTCTGTGAATACCTGCCAAATAGCTTTCCAGAAAGGTCAGGCCAGTTTCCGTTCTCACCAGAAGTGCTCGAGGGTGCCCATCACACATACCCACCCACATTTATTTTATCTTTTAAAAAAGCTTTGCCAGTTTGATAGAGGAAATTGCCTCTCATTTTAATTTGTATTGGATTACTAGTGGAGTGGAATATCTTTATCAATTTATTTTTATAAATTTATAAAGTTATTCTGGAAATGCAGTTTTACTGCTTATGTTTGCATTTGTGATTGGCAAGCAGTACTAACTGAACTGTTGCACACTTATGAGGAAAAAACGCAGGGAGGGATTTAAAAAATAAATAATGTGGTCACACCACATTATAGCCAAATTATATTGTGGTGTACCGTACAAACAAAGTTTAGTGAGAGAATTGAGTCATCACAGGTATGTGGTTAAATAGGTCTGTGCCATTGCAGTCAGTAAAATATTCATGCTGAGCAGAGCGATTTGGTTTCAGCAAAATATCATTACTTATATTAAATCAACATTGTAAATTTTACTTTCCTCATTTGGTAGTTTTGTTTGTATTTAATTTATAAATTTGTTTTGGTTTTACAAATGCATAAAATCTATAATTATAAAAGCCCAATATGCAAAATGTCCTCTCGGGAGTTCGATGGACCGGGAGTTCAATTGCTCACTATGATGTGCGCTGACCACCAGCGGGTGGCACGGAACGAAGGAAGGCCCTGGCCAGCAGCAGCCGCTAGGGACTCTAACCATGCACGAATTTCGTGCACTAGGCCTCTAGTATTTAATAAAGGAGTCTTTTCCTTTGGTTTGTGTCTGCACATTTACACATGCATATATATGTATGAAAAATTATAAAATATTTTAATCCAACTCTAGAAATATGTGAGAATTTTTTTCCCTTACAAGGAACCTTAATATTATTTAAGTTTGAGAAACATTGATACAGGAGGTTTCTTAAAGTTTCATTTGTAATTATCTAAATGCAGGCATTAAGTTGTTTGTTTTTTTTTACAAAGGTAAGAG